AAAGTTTCATTTAAATATTTTGGTTTTTTTAAAAAATAAATCAGAGCTAAAAAAGTGCAAAAACGCAGACAAATTTGACTGCGTTCTACTACAATCTAAGGGATATATTACATTTCTAATGTCAATTACAAATCTTGTACAAGAAATTGGACATGCTACATGTAATGGAAACTCTGGTAAATCTATAATATTTTATTCATGAAATGATATTCAAAAATTAGTTTTAATCAAAACTAAAAATAATAGAAGGTACTAAGATAATTATATATAATTTATACAATAATAAGATTGCTAATATTATATATAATTTAGTTTTCAGAATCTTCTCAACAAGATGATAATTCAATAGCAACTATTTTTGAATTTTCTTATTGTTTTGAAGATATTTATACTTGTTGACAAATATTATATTATACTCTATTTAAATAGACTACAGACCTGCAGATTCCTGAATATAATATATGTGATAACTGTATTAGAAGAATTCAGGATAAAGCATTACAAGTTAATATTCGGGATAACTTATTAAAAATATTAGACATTACAGAAAAGTTACTAAAAATGGTTCAAGAAAAAAAATTAACAAGTTTTGGAAGAGAAGAATTAGTAGATGTTTTTTTAAAAGCTGAAAATAAAAATACCAAAAGCAAAAACTTATCATTATTGTGGACAGAAGACAAGGTTGCTCCATATAAGCTACTAATTTCTACTTGAAATGTCTGTTTTCACATAGTGGATAAATTAATCATCAAAAGATTTATAAAACAAAGTATATTATCCTCTTCGCTACAACTCTTCTATTTTAGTATATAATTGTAGTATAGTTTCTATTTCTGATAATACGCAAGAACAAATAACAACAAGTGAATAGTGAGAATTTGTAAAACAAAGTTCAAAACAAAAAAAAAATAAACTTCGCTTATCTCTTATTCAATAATTAATATGCCTATTATATATATTTGTAAAAGATTACTAACTATAACAATTATATTCAGTTCAATTAATTGCTAGCAAAAAGTTTTATTTGACTAAAATAATTTTTCTTAAAACTTAATAAAGTTTTTAGTACAATAATGCTGAACAATCTATATACTATTATAAATATCATATATAATTCAACCAGATCACAGAATACTGAATTAAATTCCTCACCAATTTTATAATTATATCTAATATATTCAATAGAAACTATTCAACTATATATGCATAATTTCTAAGCTAAAGCTCTTTTATATAACAATTGCTTGTCCATCCTTGAATCCTTAATTTTGAATACTAGAATTTGTATTTATTTAATAAATTAATATGAACAGAAAATAATTATCCATAAGCTTTAATAATTTAAATACATTTAATAATAAATACTCATATACTTACTGTTCAAATTAATGCTATAAAATAAAATAAAAGAGAGAATGAAACTATAATGCAATTAAAGAATTGTCATATACTACCAAAAAGTAAGTATAAAATTAAATAGTATAATAATATCTGAATTTATTTTGTGTTTCTTGATAAAGTTACATAATGCTGAATAGTTTTCTGAAAATAAGGTCATTCTTAAGCGTCTACCTCAATGAGTTTACCAAATAGTTTGATTGATTGAAAAAATTGATCGTAATCATAACTCTTTAGTCAAAAAAACCTGGAGCTGCAATCACCAATTTTTTTTTATAGGTTGTACTGATTGGTTAAAATTTATCATTGATAGAGTAATCAAAGAGATTGCTCAAGCTCGAATCCTCAACAAGACCATCATCGCTACCAAAACATTATTATTCTACTCTTCATGCTAAAAATATAAATAAAAAATGTCCAGAGTTAATATTTAAAGAATAAAAAATTATAGTAACTTTTGATATGTTGTATAAAATAATATTCATGCTTCATTATATTTTGATATCACTTTGTTTAACATTAAAGAATCTATATAAAGCTGTGTTGCCGAATATGGTTGTAGCTGTAATGATGTATAGTCAGCTATAGCTGTTGTTGCAATGATAAGTTATTTGTAAAATTGTTAAAAGGGTAAATGCTGAAGGCAAAGTTTAAATGTTAAAGTCTTGGATGCTAAATTTTTAGATAACTGGGTAATCCCTTTTTTTCCTTAGAATCATAATAAAAATTGATTGAAAAAGATAGCTCAAGTTTCAATCACAGTCTTTACTTGAATTAATCATAATATTTGAATGTCACTTTGATCACTAATCAATTATATTGAGAGAGGCACTTGAGAACAGCCTAATACAATTTATTCTCATAATAGTAAAGTTATTGGGCTAAGAAAACAAATCTTCACTACTGAGAAAATACAATATTACTTCACTATATCAAGCTGAAGTTTAACAATTCTGTTCACTATAATGAGAGTAAGTTGTATTTTAGATATTTATAAAAATTATAAATTTGGTTAATAATGACAAACGAATAAAAATCAAACTACTTTAGGATATCTTAACTTTTATAAACTTTATTTCTCCAGTCATTGAAGTTTGATAAAATGTTTAGAAAGAGTGATTATAAAATTGATTATAAAAGTTCAAGAATTTTGTAAAAAATAGTGTCTTGTTACTTGAAAAGACAGTTATTCTTTTAGTAATAGTGATATGCGAAAATTATAATAAAAAATTATCGTAATTTGATTAGACCGGTTTTATTCTGTTCTATTTTTATAATATTACACAAATTAATGATCATCATTTTTTAGACCATATTCGGTATATAGATAAAATTAAAATGATATCTACCCTTAATCAAATCGGTTGAAGCATCATTCGGTTAATTTTTATTAGATGTTCCAGGAATTATAAAAATAGCTGTAATGAAAATCATTGAAAGTTCGAAGGACTATTATTCATATTAAAAACCATGGCATGTTGAGGTTCTATATCAGCTATGTAAATCAAATCTATATCAGGTCCCCTTAATATTTCATTATTAGAAGATTTTTAATTAAAATTTAATGATCTCATTGATAAAAGTATATAATATAAATTAAATATAGAAATAGCCCACACTTCTTTTAGATGCACAGATTGAATTTCTTTTTCTTTCAAAATTTTTTAACAACCAATCATTTTTACGCAATATATTTACAAAGTTATGAAGTGTTTTTTCATATAAGAAAATATATATTGGTTCCAAAATTCTATTATTTCTATTTTCAATGTTAAACAGCATTAAAATTTTAAATTTGAACCAAATTGTAAGTTTTTTTTTTTATTTGATTATAAAAAATGGCTTCATAACTTTTTCCGTAAAGGCTTAATCTTAATTTCTACAAAATATTACTTTGAATTATAGTAAAGTTAAAGCTGGTCATCTTTTTTTATATGTATTAGCAATGGATATATCATATAAGCATCGTTCTCAACTGAAGAATTGTAATAAAATTCGATTAGAAAAGCAAAAAGAAAAGAAGTATAACAAGATGATTAATAAAATAAATCAATGTTTGGATACATTGATTCTAATCACTTCAATACATTCTAAATACTATACAAAATACTTTAACTATAAGTGAAGATAATTAATTCACAACCTATAATGACAAGTAATAATAATCAGCATAATCAAACAAATAAAGATCCCAACTATTTTAAAATAATTTTTATAATCAAACAATTACCCGAAAAGAAACTTTTGTCAATTGTACATCTAATTTCAACGATGCGGTATCAAACTGGATCTGATAAGGGCAAAATTTATTCACTATATCTGCAAAAAAAGATACACAAATTTATATCTCAATTACTTTACAAACAGCAGCCTATATATTAGTCATTACAAAAGTTTAATGCAAAATTAAAAGTCAATCTCGACAAACTTCAAAAACAAAATCAAGCTCTAATTAAAAAAATGCAATTGTTAGGAGCCCAAATCATGCATCTTCACAATCAAAAAACAAACTATATATCAATTATTCATTCACTTTCTCACCAATCACATCAGATTACTGATCAAGTTTTTCAAAAAAAAATTAAATTTATTTTTCAAGAAAATAAATGCAAATATACATCTAATATAATTTGGTTAGCAACTAGTATTTCGCAAGTTGGTCAAATTTCGTTAAATTCAACAGTAGAGTGTATGTGGCTGATTTACAAATTTCTAACAAGAGAGTCATCACAGAATTGGTTAGTAACAACAATATTATATACTTGGCATAAAGATATATTAAAGCTTTATATAAATACTCAAATTAAATAACTTGTTAATGCTTCAGCATATGGAATTATGATCGATGAGTTGACACAAGGTGAATTAAAAAATTTTATTATATGCTACCAGTTCTGAAATCAAAGTTGTCAGGCTCCAACTGCCATTATAACTTATCTTCAAAATATTTTATGGTGTAATGCGGATACTATTTCAGATACTGTTATTAAATGTATTGAACATGATAGATTAGATATTGCAAAGTGCATTTTATAGGTAACCGACAATACAGCTTACATGTCTGGAGAAAGAAATGGTGCTATAGTTCAGTTTTAAAAAAAATCAGATTCGACTTCAATATGTATTAGATGTAGGCTTTATATACTTCAGATTATATTTAATCATTTTGAGCAAAAAGCATTTGGAATACTTCCAAATAGTACTAGTTTTTCAAAAAAGCCACATCTCTATAATTTGCTCTACTTGGCATAGAAATTACATAATGGATATGATTCAAGTGATAAAGATAAACTGCTTAACATTAATTCTCAAATTATTAAAAATCTTTATATTAGGCTATTAGGTTTTTATTATAAACAATATCAATTACCACTTTGTTCAAGATGAGAGTATGAACTTCAAACAGCCAAGCAATACTTTAATCATTATACCGCACATGTTGAATTTGCACAATGGTTCATCAAAGAAATAGAAAATTCTCAAAAGGTTCCCAAATCTTATCTTAATGAATAATACCTTTTTAAAACTTGGTTTAATGATTCAAAATTGAATCTTCAAATTAAATGCTTGGTGAATTTTGCTAAGCATTTTTATGAGCCTCTCATGCAATTTATGGTGGGTTATGATCCTATATTATAAATTTATCAAAACAATCAATTAGTTACCTTACCTTCCAGTCATCAGACATATGAGATGCTGGATAAAGTTTCTGAATAATTCGAATTTCTTAAAAATCTCAAAAACAACTTTGATATGTTTTTTTCCAATCAATTATTAGAGGCTATAGACTTATTATTGAATGAAGAATTCAATAATTTTTTTAATAATTTGGAGCTTGGAATTTTAGCTGCTTTAGAGTACTTCGAGAAATGGCTTTTACAATGGCTTCATTTGCTATTAGCAATATGCCGACTTAGCAAAAACAACGCACATTTATTTGTGTTTAGTTATCAGTCAGCTGTGATATCGTGCAGATCACGTGTGTAAAATTTTTAATATAGGATCAAATAATTGACGCACCTAAATTTTATATGTAAAATTTCGAAAAATTTTGCATTCCAGGTTTAATTAATAATAAAAAATTCGTCTGTTTAATTTTTGGATATTGTTTTCAAATTATCTAGCATTTGAAGGTTCTTCTCATAAAATTTCAAGGGTGGTTTAAAATAAAATGGAAAATAATCTTGATCACGAAGTTAGCCTATT